TTTTTCGAGCAATATTTTCACTATTGAAGTATTTGATTCCATAACGGATACGGATATGTGCTCATCCATATCCTTTTTGTTACAGATACATACATATCTGCGCCACTACAAACTATAATCCCGATGCCAATAAGCAACATACTTCATATATGCACCTATACCCACATATATTCCCTCTCATTCAACACGGAAATCATCATTTGTATTGGTTATCCCATTTCGCCTGCTGCCCTTGCGCTTTGTCTTCTATTTAGTATGAGGTTGTGATTAATTAACCACACAATAACAAACAGCATGATAACCATTCAGTGGCGGTGATTAAGTCATGAAGCATAAAGCACACGCAAGCAGATCAGCATACAAATATATAGAGACGATTTCTTATTATAACGGCTCGTATGCGATTTTTAGCCCCTTCCCCAACACTTAGCGCTTACCACACGCTGCCACGAGAGTTACTCACTGTCAAGTTGATTATCCTCTTGCGGACAGTAGCCGCTGCTCCTCGCCGTCCTGCTGCTCCACATACTTCTCCGACTGGACATGCTGTGGAAATGTGGAAAAAATGTTATATATATTTGTGATAACAACAACAACAACAACGAACAACGCTGTGGCAGCATTTCATTCACATGCGCGCCGCATTTGCCTCGGGCAATGAAGAACTCAAACGAAGCAAGCAAGTTGAGTGAGTAAGAAGTGGCTGATGTGACTGAAGTGGCAAGATATCCATCAAAGGATAATGGAAAAAGTGATGTGAGTACACAAGTGAAAGCGATGTTTTACATGCAAGACAACATGGCATTAACTACTTATGTATTATGAATACTTATGCTGCATGTAGATGCACATATGTATGCACTGTAGTAAATAGATGGACATGCAAGAGGATATACAAGTATGCATATATATTTGTGATGGCTCGATATCGTATGGCTTGGTTTAAATTGAAAAATTGTTGATTTTCTACAAAAGTGTTATATGCATATGGAATTTGTAAATTTTTTAAAGCTTAAGTAGTTCCATATTAATTCATTCAATGCTAGTTAGTTTGCTGTATATCTTTCTCTCAACAGAACTTATTAAAGGTGAGGTTGAACAAATACGCTGATTTCTCCTGAGACCGTGAACAATCCCACTTCAAAAGCTGCAGAGTTTTTTTGTTGTGGTGCCCGGAACTCCTAGGTAGGCATCAAAAACGCCTTTGCGTATTGACTTGGCGAGTCGCCGTCAACCAGCTCAAGGCCTGTTTAGCAGCTATCAGAGACTTACTATAGTAGGGAATAAAACCTTCATGAAAGTACAGTAACTCTTAATATTCTAGGTCTGAAGAATATTTACTAATTGCGAGACGGTTAGCTTTAGCAGCAGCTATAATAAAGAGCTTAAATGTAATCCCAATATTTCAATAACGTCTCCGCTCTTAATGATGAGATCCGGTAGAAATACTTTATATAGGAAACAAGTTGCTGATAAAAAAAAAAAAAAAATCATCAGTTTCCACATATCTTCTTCAGTAGGGATTAAACAAACTCCAAAATAAATTTTCCCACAACAACTACCTCTCTATCTTAAGGTGAATTCCGATGGGATTTATGTATATACTATAGGAGATGGGAGAGTTACTTTTATGAAAATAACTGCCCAGTTTCCATACAACGTATTTAGAGGAGATTAGTGCATATATTTGGTTTATGGCCATCGGTTCAAGATAAAGCAGCAAAAACAAAAAAGTTACTAAATTTATTTTTTGGTTATAGTTTCCTTCACTTATTTGAAACCCAACAATCACAGAACATACCAAAATACAGAAAGAACTTAACTAATTTGTTCGCCATCCAATGTTTATTAAGACAGGTTGCTCCGTGAGCTCTACAGTTCCACATTTTCTAGCACATCTATTGGGATCAGTATGTAAGTTTCTCAATGTGAAATATTTCTTCGAAAAAATTAATATTACAGATCCAAACTATCCCTACCGACGCCTACTTGGGTCCCAAAATGCACAAACTGTTTTATTACAAAATCTAAGATGTCTGCTTCGAACCATTTAAGCTGTAGAAAAATTCTCTGAAGCCCATAATTTAAGTTCATTTGGTGAGTAGTCACTGAGTTACTTCTCTTGCGTAGCAGCATGATTACAAAAACCTTTAAATCTGGAAATCTTAAACAAATGTTTAATTGACACACACACATCGTCAAACAGTGCAATTTTCCGCTTTTATTTTTTATGCTCTATTTCAAGTCAAAGCAAACACAACAACAATCATGAATAACTAAATAAGTCATACAATGAAAAGTAAGCATAACCGACTAGAAGCTGTTCATGGTTTACGGCGATTGATGCCGCTGAGTGAGCTGCCATTCCAGAAAAACGAAGTTCAAAATTCGCGCGAGAAATTTTTCAGGACTGGAGAATTTTTCATAGAATTGAATATGGTTTTAAATCTTTTAAAATATAATATTTTCATTGGAAACAGTTTATCCCGATACAACTGAAATCTTGAGAGATTTGGATACCAAATTCCATCAGAGTCTTTCAAGTGTGTAGGTGGGTTCGTTCTTATCTTGAAAACACTGTAATCATATTAAAAGAAAATTATCCAAAATTCTTTCATTAAAAAATGCGATGTTTTTGTCTAGTTTGGTCATTTCGATTAATTCCTTTGATTTCTGAATTCTTTTCACGAAAAATATTCTTTTTAAGATTATCCAAATGTTAATGAATTTTCTCAAATTTTCCTTGAATGCCATCACTGCAGGCATCTTGGCAATTGACTTCAGTGTTGGAAGTAATAAACCAGATAATGAAAATTTACTTATTCGAGTTTTCATAGCCAGACATAATATTTGAAAATTTTAAAAATGGCAGAGGTTTAAAAAAAGTGCATTTTTGACTCCAAAAAATAGGAAAATGTTCAATTAAATTTATGTCAGCAAAGCGAGATAGATTGCTTTGTCTGAATCGTACAACCCTCAAAATAATAGTACCTTCTTTGAAGCAAATGTATCTAAAGCTGACTGAGCGACGTGAATAGTCGGCGTGCAGGCGGTCTTGGACCTCGATACTTCGACTGTATATCCTTCCTCTATTATAGAGTTGCCACAAATAAGACAAATTAGTATCTGGTCATTTTCGAAACTGCAATCATTCGTATTCCCTTTTAACCGTCATTAAAAACTCTAGTCCTCGTTCAACTAATGTCTGCAAGAACAGTTGAAATCGAAAAATAACAACTCCTACAACTAGAAGATATTTCTATATGTGAATATATATTTTTACTGTATTCTATACAAATATGTATCGCCCGGCATTTGGAAAAACACCTCAGCTTAAGCAGATGATCACCCCTTTGGTAGAATTCACTTGCCCACTTGTCAACGTGACGGTCATTGCTGACGCTTTGCTGAATGAAATTCGCATCTCAACACAATCCACTGCTGCCATGCGTGCATACTTGAACACGTGTGTGCTTATGCATGTGTATGTATGTGCTACAAGCCGGGCTCGAGTGTCGAGTTGGCAATTAAATATTCCAGGCATATGCAAAAATACTTAGCATGCAATTAGGGGCGGTCAAGTAAACATTAGCAAATTATATGCTAACATGACGTTTGTTGTCTTCAATCTCATACACCAACTACTAATACATATGCAGCATGTATGTGCGTGTTAACAACGCTACCTTATGTCACATACATATGCCCGCAAATATGCTTGGTTATGCATGTATGTGTGGCTTATGGCAGTTGGTTTGCTTTGGTTGGTGGGTAGCTTGACAGCTGAAAGCCAAAATACTGGTTTGGTGGCATGGCATTATGTGTGCATGTATGTATGTATGTGTACTGTTTCTAAGTAGCAACCGGCAGTTGGCAACATAAATATACAATTATGTGTGTGCATGTGTATGTGTGAGCGTGGATTTGCTAATGGTCGTGCCGACTGTTACCTGCCTTCTTGTTTTCCGCACTTAACAAGTTCAACAGTTGGAACAACAATTGCAATAACAACAACAAAGGCAACTGTAATAGCAATGACAACAATAACAACAACTATTTCAACAACAACAGCGAACATACATGAAATATGTACACCACAAAATCCTTTCATGTTATTCCTTTTATCTCTTTTGAATTCGCTATATTTATTTCTTTATGCCGTTTTGCCTCAGCGCCCTTAGAAGCCACCACTCGTACCCATTATGGACTCAACTAACTGTGTTGTTCAGTTGCATATTGCATATTTTGAGACAAGAGCGGCAGTGGCAGTAATGAAAAAATGAAATTTTTCATAGCATACCGTCGGGCGCATGGTCGTTTCTCTTCGTCGCGCGCTACTACTAGCTTCCAGTAGTTGTGGCCATGTTCCTACTTTGACTTAACATTATTAGTGCATTTACTGTTTTGACTTTGAACGTGGCAAGGGCGCAGTACACGGCGGCTGTGTGTGTCGACCGGTCCACTCATGTAGTAGTCATTAAGCATGAGCATAGCGTGCAACAACAACAACAATCACATTATTAACAACACGAAATTGAATACGTTGCCGGCGGGATCATGCACCAAAAGCACCAATAACAAAAGCAACAGCGAATTGTTCAAAAAGTGCATTTATTCCTCGTTGGCATTCACAAGCTCTCTGCATGAAAATCTGTGGTTTGAGCTCTACAATGCGAGATTAAATTTTAAAGCACACTTTTGGGATTGTTGCATACTTTTGGGCAGCATTTCGTGTACATTTCTTTTTTTGTATTTAATTAAGATGGACATGAATGGCGGTTGAGCTGGCATTTTGTGCCGCTACGCTTCACTTGAAGTCAGTGCACGTTGCCGCAACTTCAGTAAACGCCCAGCAGGCAGCGCTGTTGCTTGTTGCGTTATACACTTGAGTGGCGTTGCAAATTGAATTCATTCTTGGTATATTTCACTTCAATTATATTTTATTTTAAAATTTTTTTTATCATTCACTTAGATCTTTTTGTTGCTTTGCTGACTGCGTTTTACTTCCTGCCGCGCGTCGCTGGCGTTGGTCGGAAGGGTTTGCGTCTCGACTTGGTATCCACAAGCAGCACTGACTGGCGTTTCAGGTATTGACGTGTCGGCACCTCACTCTCCTCGTCGGGCGCAGCAGCTGTGTGTCGGTTGGAGAGAAAAAGTTCGTAATGCATAGCAAGTTAATTGGTAATTTTGACTTATAAAAATTGGTGCATGAAAATTGGGATTTTATGTGTGGCACACATGGCATACCTGCGGCCGGTGCTTGTTCGGGCGAAGAAGAGGATGTGCCAGTTGTGCGTTGAGCGCGTCCGGCGAGCAGATTGTAATAGCAAAGTGGCATTGGTTGTGGCTTCTCACCCTCGGCGACGGTGGGTGACTTAGGCGCCTCAGACGGTGGGTAAACTTCATCGCTCTACGTTTTTGATAAGTAAAAATAAAGGTTGGAGAGTAAATTTCAGTTAAAAAGAGTTAAATATATTGTCATCAGCTTCACCTCAAGCTCCAATCTCGGCACTTCTGGTGGGCCAATGTCCGATGGTTTACTTATCTCTTGGCAACGTTGTAGTTTGAATTTCAAAATCTGCAGAAATTAGTGAAAGATAAATCGTGTTAAAAATTAAGGTCTCCGGTTTGAATCTGTGCTAAGGACAACACACAACCCTAAAAGAAGGCTACATTTTATGATATTTAATGTGATAAAAGCAAAATATTCGCCAGATTTATGTCGAAGAAAGTCAATACAGTTGTAAGTGCTGCAGTTTCTTTAAAAGCCCTTTTTATAATTTTCAATCTTTACGAACCTCTATGAAGTCATCATCTGCTGCTTCGTTCGCCAAGAAGTTCGGTAAAGTTTCTACATGTATATAAAGGCCCTTCGGTTTCAAATTAATATGACTCTCATCGACTTCTTGCAACTTGAATATCATTTCGCTTAAATGCTCTTTGATAAACTGCAAAACCGTGAGCGTATGCTCAGAGGCTTCCGAGTTCTTCTGACGTTCAGCGTCTAATTCGGAAATTTTTAATTTGATTTGCTCGATGACTTCTTGGTTGCTACAAGAAAAATAATAATAAGTTTTTTAGCAAAACGCCAACACTGGCAATTTCCCCTCAATACTTACACTTCACTCTCTTTGCCATCGGAGAACTTCATTGCCTCCAGTGAGAGTGTTAATTGCTCTCTCTGCGCTTCCAGTTGAGCTTTCTCTTTCTCTGCCGCATTACGCAAGTAAGACAAGCGGGAAGCGGATTCTTTTTGCGAGCAAAAGCGATCATAGACTTCAGCAGGGGTCGTGGCACCACTTACTTCCATTAGTTGTTTGAAGAGATTCTCCATTTCGCCAGTCAAGTTTTGTAACTGCGTATTCTCATCTATCTCGGTCTCAGTTTTTGCAGTAAGCTGATCACCGGAGTTCGAACCGAGACTGTCTTGATGTACCAGCGTTTTGTTCTCAACGAAGAGTTTACGTCCGATGCGCTCCAACTCCATCTTGCGTGCTTCAACCTGCTTACGGAAGTCGAGCGCTTGCCGCTCACGCGTCTTTTGTGACAGATGCGCTTGCTGCTCCTGGCGTTGTAGTATAGCTTTGGCAGCGTCGCGCATTGTAATGGCCTCGTTGTGCACTTGCTGGTGTAGATAAGAGAGCATTACGATATAATACTGTATCCATCTCGGAAGTTCTACATGATAGCTACTAATTTACCTGCAACCTGTCAATCTCTGCCTGCTGCTCCTTCAGCGCTGCCTCCAACTCACGTAAGCTACGTTCAAAGCGCTCAGCATCGTTCATCAGCGAAGCCTCAATGGAGCGATATTTCTTGCGTATGTGCTCGGCTTCCATCCACTGAACATTGGTGCGATGTATCTCGTTCTCCAGCTGACAAACCAACTGTTTGGCAGAAAATACTCTGAGAGCAGCTCTTGGTATCATACATGTACACAAACCTTTCTATTGGCGTCCTCCTCCAACGTTTCTGGCGGCTTCTCGCCCAAATTCTGTGCCTGCGCTGTTTTTGCCGCATTCAGCCCGCGATATTGTTGCACGAGCTTTGCCAAGCGTTCCTTGCGACATCTGAAGCGATGTCGCAGCAGATCCAGTTGCTTGCGTTGTTCGGTGAGTTTCAAGTCGGTCAGAAAGATGGCATCGTCGATGCTTCGTGCACCAATCGGGTAACTCATTTTGCCCACCGCAATCGCAGTTGTCGTGGCGCTACTCGCCTTCTTTCGCACCTCCTGCGTTGTGGCCGGCTCCTCTTTGATGACCACGGCGCGCTGCAGTGGATTGCGCAGTTGGCCGCATTTGTGTGTCAGCTCTTTGATTTCCTTCTTCAGCGTTGTGATAGTTTCACGGTTTATGCGATTTTGCTTCTGCCATTCGGCGGCATTGGCTGTCTTTTGACCCTCTAGAAGTGCGGCGTATGCGGATGATATGTACTTGTATGCATGGAGAAACCCTGTCTTTTTTTTATTTAACTACTAACCTGCTAGCAGTATGCGCTTCTTTAATTCGGCGATTTTGTCATTTATTTCACCAATTTTATCTACTTCCGCTGCTGTGCGTAGCGGCATTTTTTCATTTTCCCACTTTCATGCAACACAGTGCGAATTCGGGAAATCAATGATGTAGTTTGTTGATTTGCTTTGTCTTGGCAACGTGAAAATTTGTTGTAGCAACAGTGGAAATGGAAACAGTGTTACAGCATATCCAGTGCATTGGCAATTCTGTTAGATTTACCAAATCGCTAATAAATAACTGGGTTTTCAAATGTTCATATGTGAAGACTTTGAATTCTTCTGGAAGAAAATGCTAATAGACTCGATACATAAAAATGAAGTTTTCTCTAATTTCACTGTTAATTGGGATTATGAATTTGAGATTCATTTTCTGATGGGGTACAAGTAATCAATATGCTCCTTTACGGCGGTAAACAGATTAAGCAACCGGCACAAGGTACTGTAACCCGCAGTTCGCCGGACTTGCTGACAATATGTATATTTTTACAGTCATTATCCAAAGGATCTTGGGTTCAAAATTAGCGTTGTCTTGCCAGACGCATCTAATATTCTGCAAATAATCACTCTTAAAACAAAATCCATTACAGATAGCGGACTTAAGTGTTTGTAATAATATGCAGCTAAAACAGGATATTCAGTGAAAATGTAGTATAAAGTGGTCATCTATAAGGATTTTGCTTCACGTGAAACCACAATCAATACTTCAAAGATCTTGCCAACTAGCTAGCTGACCGAAGTTATAAGAATTAGATTTAATGCAAATTTTCAAATCAATCGTAAGAGATGTTAATAGTCTGACCGCTTGAAATAGTAGTATACTGTAAATGGTGGTACCAAAAAATATTTGATTTTGCAAAAAACTTTAAATTGTGGCATATGTGACCCCGGACACAGAAACACGACAAGTGTGTCAAAACAGGATTTTTCACAAGAGGCGTTGAAAGATATGAACGTGTTCTCTCTCCCTCTTTCTCCTTGCTCGTTACTATGTTAGCAGTTTAGCACAATGAAGCCGTCTGAGTGTTGTTATGGTAAGGGCATTCCACAAAGAAACAATAAATATTTCGCTTTTCTTTCTCTCCTTTGAAAATTGAAATGTCGAACATGAATGACCTTCAAATAAAATACAATGCCAATAAAAAATCCATACTCCTTATTTTACAATACATTAGCGTTATCGTTGGCTAATCGATGAGCGGCATTTTCTTCTGTCAAAATATTTCCATGTGTGGCGCAATGGCTCATTGCACAGGTATTACACATCTGCTTTTATATTTTTCGACAGTGTTCCTGAGGAAACTATTAGGGAAAACCAAAACTTTGGGTATTTGACACGCTAGCCGGATTTCTAAAACATTTGTTCACACTCATTTTCACTCACTCTGAAGCGTTTCCGAGAGGAACCAACAAGCTCTCGGCTTGCTCCCCGTAGTTCTACATACATTTTCGTTGAAAACCGATAATTGACATTATGACACACTAGCCGAGTTTCTATGTGCGGGGTGGAATAGATGTTTTATCAGTGCAACAACTCTATAACTTTATGACATTCCGACCAAGAGATTAGTATATCATTTGATTAAAATTGACTCGAAGTCATCAAAACTTGTCTCATGCAAAAAAGTTAAAAGAAAGTGCTTAAAAGTCATCATATAAGTACAGAATGAATTTGTTCTCATGAAAGGTTTTGGCTGTCTGTTATGATTACAGTTTTTGGACGTCGAACCTTTCTTGTGTTTGTTGACGTCCTTTTTTGCTGCACAGAGGCGGGTGGCTATCTTGGTTGCAAGAAGATAGTGGTCCAAGTTGATGTTAGGACCTCGGAGAGTACGCTCATCTAAAACACTGGGACACGCCTCCATAATACGTCCGTCTATTATAGCACGATCGATTTGATTGGTGGCTTCTCAACCCGGACATAGCCAGGTAGCATGATTCATTTTTCTATGCAGGAGTCTAGTACTACAGGCAACCATATTTCGGGCCCCGGCGAAGTCGATCAGACTCAACCCATTTGGGGTTGATCGTAGAGGTTGAATTTACCAACCATTGGGCCAAATATCCTTTATTTGCCCATCCTGGCGTTACAGTCGGATTGTGGCTAGACGCTCATCAACCAGTATGTATGGCAGGAATCGGCGATGGAGTCTCTCTCCCACACCGAATTTTCGCTCCTCTATATGATCAGTGTAGTAAATACCACAAGGACCTACTTGCAGCAGTTAATCACTGATATAACTTTAAATTATCCTGATTTTTTTTTAATTTGAGCATTTATTGTAGAAAAATGTAGAATATGGGAATTCCTGACATTCGTGAATTCCAACCCAAAGGAGCTGCTCCGGTAAAAACAGGCGGGGTCTGGTCTATACGATGGTTGAGGTAAGACTTCCCAGCCGATGTTGTCAATGATTTAAGAAATGGATTTTTGCTTGTGCTTCAGATGAATGTGTCGAAAAAAACGCACAGTGACAGTAGTTACAGTAGTGATAAAAAACGCCGAAATGTCGAACTTTCCATATTTTCTAGAAATAAAATCCAATAAGAATCTGAAATTCTCAACAACTTGGACAGCCAGTAAGAGAGTATGTTTCTGTTATTTACACTTTGAAGTTGACTAAATGCTTCGAAAAAAACTTTTTTCTCCAATACTATTCCGAAAATTTTTCGTAGAATCCACTTAAATGGTTTCCTTGATAACGAATTCGACTTCGATACGAAATTAAAAGCTCGATTTAAACATATATTTTTGAAAAATTCTAAAGCGAAACATAAATTCTGACGGATTTTTGAAAATGTTGTACCTACCAAAAGTATAGAGCTCCCTTTACAGTGGTTTCTTCGCCCCCATTAAAATAAACTTGTTTCCATTTAAATCATTTAAAATAATGGCGAAGCGATACCACCAAGCGTCTCGGCGACACTTATAGAATTTTAATAACCCTTAAGTGTTAGTTTATTGCATTTAATTCTCATTCCAATATAATTACCGTAAAGTACAATTGCAAATACTTCGCTTCCGCATTCACGCCAACCCCTTAATTAGCCAGTAAGGAGAAGCAGTGTTGCCATTGCTGCTGACTCACTTCTTTGTAAGTAATCAGTAGGTAGCCACCCAAACATATAAAATACATAAATATTCTAAGTGTTGTAGAACGTGAATTTGACACGGATTTAAAATTTCGCAACACCAAAGGAGCGAAAATGGAAGGAGTTTTGTATGTAGTCGTGTGGCTTGGCTGTAGAGAGGCGCTTAACAGGTCATTAAGTTCGCTTACCGGGCATTCGCATGCAAAAAGTAGTGAAAGGGGTATAATTTCCAGTTCCAGCAGACACTACGTGATAATTATAGAGCGTGGGTCTTCCGCAAATGCACACACATACACACATAAGTATTATGGGTACTTATATAGAGGAGTCTTACTGGTGGTGACCAATGCAACTTCTTCATTGTATTGGCGAAGAAATGGCTGCAAATCGCTTAACAGTTATTTCCGCTTTTTCTCAATCTATATGCAAAGCTTTTCCACGACAGTACCGTAATTTAAAGCTGTATTTCATACACACCACACCTCCCCTCAGCGAAAAAATTTTCATTGGTCCGTTTTCATTTCATTTTCTTTCCTTTATTTATTGAGCTGCCGTGAATTTTATTTGCAATTACAAATGGCCATTAAAAGGCGCTCAATGCTCAACTCACAGTACGCTGTGTTGTTGTTGTTGTTGCGCCACTGTCAGTGCGAAACACCGTTGGCCCGCAGTTGCTCGGCTCGGTTGGAGGGGGCTCACTTATGGGCGCGCGCGGGCAAAGCGGATTGAGTGGGGTGTCGCTGAAAGTGTGGCCGTAAGCGCCAAGGTAAACACTTCAGATGGAAGTGTGCTTTAAGTGGCACATTTTAATTAAAACAGATTGACGACTTGAAACGGTCGAAGCGGTCGCCGCTGCAACAGGGCCAGTGTTGGTGGCGGCGTGAGCTTTACATAAATCATGCCCACAATGCTGCGCGGCTTTAAAACGGTATTAGCCAAATGCTGCAGCTGTGTATGTGTGTGTGTTGGCGCGGTGTTCAAATGTTGCGTTAAAGCAAAAGCGTTACGAAGAGCTTAAAGTTTTGTGCAGCTTTTTGTTAGGCGTTCGTGAAATCTCTATTGAGATAAACTTATTTTTCAGTGTTGCAGGGAGATTGTCGGCTTAGTGTACTATAAAGTGAGGTTAGTTTGCTATAAAGTGAGGATAGTTTTAGGAATTAAGGTATCAGAAAGTGGAAAATTCGCTTGTGTCTAGAAACTGTTTGGTTGAAAAGTAGAAAAACTCTACGAAGAGTACTTTAGAGGTTATGTCTGGAGCGGTTTCAAAAGCAATTTTCGTAACACTCGTAACAGAGCTGGAGCATAACTGAAATATGAGTTTTTTTATTGAGACTTTCCAACTCAATTAGCTTAAAGTTCTGCATTTTTTTATCTTTCGTTAGAGTTGGTATGAAGTGGTGCATTGGTATTGGTGTATGAGTTCATTTGAATAGTGATTGGAGACGACAATCAGTGATTAGAATATCTTATTTAGTCGACTAGTTAACTCGTAAGAGGTTTCATAGGTCTCATGTCTTCAAACAATTTTTTTATTAGTTTCTTGAATTCTGTAAAATCTCTAGTACCAAGTTGATCGGAGTAATAGTTTTCGGTATACAAATTTGTTGAAAATTTGACACTCAAAGGATTACATGCCGAGTCCCATTTGGTTGGGTCAATGCAGAACGTTCGCCCTTTAAAACAAAGCTATTAAAAAATGCCATGATTTATTCTCAGCCGGAAAGTCAGCGCTGCTATTTTACTTAAAAATATTTTCTACTATGCCGCAGTTGTTCATAAACTTACAATCTTAAAATTGAATTTATGAACAACTATCAGGTGTCCGTATTGTTGTATTTCATGTCTGATTAAAATTGCCACAGGAAGCTTAATTAAAACACAAAACGAAACCACACGAAAATTGTAAATGAAATTGAATATTTGAAGCTGTGCAAAGTATATAAAATAAGAGTGTGATCAAACGA